GCTTTTAACCCATGGATCCTTGGAAAAGGAAAAGACATGGGTTATTAGGGTTTCACCCTAACCATGCATACTATATAAGCATGCTTATGGAGCATGAAATGAAGCCTAAGGTAAGTCTAAGTGACACTAAGAGAACTAAGATACACTAAAGAGAAAGCTAGTGATCTAGTGTGTGTGTGCATGTGTGTGGCCGATTTATACAAGGTGTATATACTCTCTCAAAGTTTTCCAAGAGTTTGTGGTGTTTGTGATTCCATTTGAGGCATTCACACTATTGGTGCTTGGCCCTCAAACTCCTAAGAACCCAACACACCAAAAGGTATGTAATCTCTTCTAACTCTTTTATGTTGAAATGTTCCCCATGCCATGTTAGATAGGTTATAAACCTTGGAAAATTATTATTTTGCATGTATTTAGACAAACATAGATCCAAGGTTTATTAGGGTTGCATGCACACTTAGGAAGTGTTAGATTGCTCAAAACCCAACAATATGTTGGTATTGTTCTTCGCTCCAGGTTTCCAAGCACTCTACCCAAGGAGGCGTTGGGCCTTGAAAAGCCGGTCGAGGGTTGGGATTCGGAACAAGAGTCATCGGGGTTAAGTTCTCCACTTCAGGATCGGGGTCAGAACCATCATCATAGCCTTCAGTTTGGTGACCATTCCCAGGGGTTGGGTAATCATTCTCTGGCTCCTCTCCGAGCCATTTGGTATTGTCGTGGTTAGGGTAGTACGGGTCATCGTGTGGATGGAAATCCAGCCATGGTATCTTCGCGAGAAATGGGGATATAAGAAATAACTAAGCAAAAGTACTAATTGGCTAATTATATGATGATCTTTATCAGGTACTTCAACATATTGTTTAGTGCATACTAGTTATATGTATTCGGGACAGGATAGACCTTCGAATAAACGACCCTAACTCTAAATCCCCAATCCAACGAGAACAGGAAGTAGAGCAAAGATCCACAGATTCTAAGTCTATGACGTCCTGGATACATAAAATTTTAATGTATCCACTAAGCAACTATTGACCTATTGATAAAGATCTATTTAGTTCTCACATATGTAATTATAATAATGCCAAAATACCCCTATGGTATTTCATTGTGGTAGTGTTGGTAAGTTTTTAGACTTGTTGCACATCACAACCATTCTTGGGCATATGCTAATCACTCCTCGGACCAGCATAGTTGATCAGGCTATGCCACTCCCAAGACTGACCATACATCCCCAGGCTTACTGTGATATCCAACAATCATTACTTTTGTTTTGTCCTAAAATGATGCTGACCTTAGTATGTATGCATGCATGTATACTTTTAACAAAAGCTATTTATTCCTAAAGGTATAGTTGTTTTGAAAACTTTAAATCAGAGACCTTAGTCCCAATGCATTTATAGTTTGTATATCTTATGTGGTTCGATATACTTAGCTCACTATAAACAATGCTCTGATACCAATCTGTCACACCCCCAAACCAAGGATGGCGGAAACGTCCGGGGGTGGAGGACTTCATGTACAGTATCACAACAACGAATATAATAGTGCTCAAAGTAAATACAACCACCATATATGTAATTGAAAAAGTTACACCAAAGTATATGTTTACATGTTTCAAAAGCAATTACATTATGATGACAAAAATAAATTGTTGACGGTTTAACGTCCCATCCTCAAAGCGATGAAGTTTTCCTGTTTCACTGATTTCCTGAGAATACAAGTAGTTTTGAAAAAGTGTCAACAATTAAGTTGGTGAGTTCATAAGAGTTTTGTTTGAAGTAGAAACCGTTTTCCTTGTAAAATCGATATGGTTTGATTTCCAGAAAATCCAATATTTTCTTAGTTAAGTGTGAATAGAAATATTCCTTTATGATGCATTAATGAACCCTAGAATGACCCGTAGAGTTCCTCTATAATCGTCCAGCGTATATAAGTTATATAAGATTTAAATTAGATAAAACGTTGAATATAGTGGGTCTGCCCTAGGTCCACAACCAAACAAGGAACAGGAGATGAGGCAGGCATCACTAATTCTAGGCCAATCGAGACAAAATTCTTATAAGACTCAAACATGTACGCTCAGCGATTATAGTTGAAGTCTAACAGTTCTAGGTGCAATATAGTTTTAATATCATAATAACTAACTTAAGTGAACCTGGTACTTTGTATCGGTACCCCCTTTTTGTATAAAGACCCGACACTTTGTATTTGTACCCCTTTTTATATAAAAACCGGCACTTTGTATTTGTACCCCTTTTTGCATATAAACCCGGCACTTTGTATTTGTACCCCTTTTTGTATGAAAACCGGCACTTTGTATTTGTACCCCTTTTTCGTATATAAACCCGACACTTTGTATTTGTACCCTCTTTTGTATAAAAACCCGGTACTTTGTATTTGTACCCCTTTTTGTACAAGTATGTTATGTAAATGATCATAAACTATACCTATTATAGTTTATTAAAATGTTTGAAATGTATATGTACCCTAACTATACCTATTATAGTTTAGTATATTTCTTTGTGGTGTTTAAGAATCCCACTCTATGTAAGTCAAACGTATAGTACGATATAACTATGATTAACTTGCTTTGTTTTGTACTATTGATTATGATGGAGGATTCTTATAAATTCAGCAAGTAATTTCCTATTATATAAATATATCATGACAAGAAATACATGTAAAATATGAAGTTATCAAAGATTTAACACTTTGCTCAACATGTTACAAAGTGTTTTGATAGTTAGAAGCTGTTAATTAATTCTTAGTCTTTCAGCACTGTTTTAGAAAAATCATAGAAAAATCATACGAAGTCGAAAACTAGATCCGTAAATTCTGAGAGTTCGCAAAATGTGTCTAGTTTACTCATAATTTTTATCAAGATTTTTAATGACCTCCAACTTGGGTGAATAAGTCCAAAATCACAGACTGGTCCGGATTGTTGTTTGAAATGATAGGCAGTTTTGTAAAAATCACCATAAATTGTAGAAAAATCGTATGGAGATGTGCAAGTAGTCATTTTAAAGCTAAAAACTTGAACTATTTGCACCTTGTACAGTTTTGAAAAAAAAATGTTTAAGTGCCAAAACAGTCCGTGAATGGAGTTGAACTTTTCTGATGAAGGCTGTTAGAAAAATTTAGTTATGTTCTTGGTGTTTTAACTTGTATTCCCCCCCTGAAAACTTGAGAAAACATGAAAATGTAGGGGTATGAACTCACCTTGAGTGATTTCAGTAGATAAGTGTTGAAGAAGAGAAGTGTTCAACCCAAGAACACTTGAAGAATCACTTGAAGATTTGAAGCTCTAACGCTAGTATGATGGAGTTTGTGTAAGATATTCATGATTTGAGTAGAATGAAGTGAAATAATCATAAGGAGGATGAATTATACTTACTAAGAGTGGAAGAACACTTGAAAATCAGCCTTGAATCTCGAAATTGGAGTGGGAAAAGTTTGAGAGAAAAGTGGTGTTTGATACTTAGTGAAATGAGGGCAAATGAGAGAAATGAGGAGAGAGGATGTTTGTTCCAGCTCTAAAAACGTGGGAATGAGTGTAAATTGAGTGTGAGGGACATTGAAGTGACCTAGGTAAGGTGGGGAGGTGTGGTTAGTCAAAGAGTGGGTGTGGGGTGGTTGCTTGTGACATTGGATAAGGCAAAGTCAACACTCCACCTTTAATAATTCACCCATTTGATTTTTATTATTTAAATAATGATTTTCATCAAAATATGTTTAAATTATGAATATTTAGAGTTTATTATGTTAAAATATAATTTCTGGAGAAAATCCCGCTTTAAAATCACGAAAAACGGGCTTAAAATGTTAAAAATATCAAAAATGGGCTAAAAGTGACAAATTTCCAAATTCTGGCCGAGGTTCGGCCTTCTGATGCTGAACCGAGAGAGAGGGAGGCAGAAACCGAGAGGGGAGAAGGGAGAGGGTAGGAACCGAGAGAGGAGAAGAGAGACCGAGAGAAGAGAAGAGAGGGAGCAGAGACCGAGAGGAGAGAAGAGACAGAGAGGCGCGAGAAGACAGAGAGGAGAGAAAGAAGCAGAGACCGAGAAGCGAACAGAGAAGCGAACAGAGAGTGAGAAGCGACAGAGCAGAGGCTCGGTCTCAGCTACAGTGGCTCGGTCCTCCGGATTCAGCCAACAGAGGCTCGGTCCTCGCGTGTTAGCCAACAGAGGCTCGGTCTGGTGTCTTAGCCAACAGAGGCTCGTCTTCGGTGCTTAGCCAACAGAGGCTCGGTCTTCGGTCCTAGGGCCTTTTTTTGGTTCTTAGTCTCGGCCTTAAGGAGCTTCGGCTCCTTAAGAAGGTTTTGGTTTTTGACCCGGTTAAGGGTCGGAATGACCCGAATGATTCTAAAAAGTTACGGAAACTATTTGAGGAGATTTGGGAGAGATTTCTCATACTTGGAGAGATTTGGGAGAGATTTGACATTCTTGGAGAGATTTCTCATACAAAGAGATATTTGAGAGAGATTTCACATACTTGGAGAGATTTGGGAGAGATTTGACATTCTTGGAGAGATTTCTCATACAGAGAGATATTTGAGAGAGATTTCTCATACTTGGAGAGATTTGGGAGAGATTTGACATTCTTGGAGATTTCTCATACAAAGAGATATTTGAGAGAGATTTCACATACTTGGAGAGATTTGGGAGAGATTTGACATTCTTGGAGAGATTTCTCATACAGAGAGATATTTGAGAGAGATTTGACATAGAGAGAGATAGAGTGAAAACGATTGAGAGAGGTTCCATGTGGGACAGTTGTGAGTGTCCGGCATCGCAATGCATGGTTCGTAAACCCTGTTAAGCCTTGTTTAAGGATCCTACACACTCCCGATGAGTAAGCATTTGTTTTATCGGTTTGGCTTGCCACTTACCGCAGCTTTTAGGTTAAAGAGATCTAGTTGCACGTACTTTTTGATTTATGTTTTCTTATCAGAATAGCGAGTTGTTTAGTAAATACTGAACGTAAGTCCTAGTACACAAGGGTTAGTTGAGCTGACCGGTTTGACTTGTTGACTTTATTTGACTTTGAATTGACCAGAATTTACGGTTGTCACACTTGTCAACTTTGACTATCTTCTTCATAATGTATTCTCTGATGAACTCAATGCAATTAATAATTGGTGCATCACGACCATCTTCTATCTTGCTGTTGAATGCTTCACATAGGTTATTAGTTAGAGCATCACAATGTGCTCTCCCTGAACATAAACAAATTCTATGTCAGTATTTAATTTACCTTCTTTTAAAATTATTAAGTAGAGATCGAAAGTCATTATACCAGTAAAGTGGGAGCGAGCCCAACTTTGAGGAGGTATTTGTTTCAGCCACTCATAAGCATCATTGTTAAGCTTCTTTAGTTTTTCCATTGCTTGATGAAAGTGTTGTACATTAGAGGTCGTGGCACATTCCCAAAGAAGATCCTTGAACACCTTTCCCCTCCAGTTCTTTTTCATGTTGTCGTGTATGTGACGAAGACAATAGCGATGCTCTGCACATGGAAATAGTGTTGCAATCGCAGGCAACAAACCCTAGCAATAGTAACATGTTTGTATGTTAGTATAACTGCATCAATAGTATAAAACTATAAAACCTAGTTTGGATAGGTTCCAATACCTTTTGCCTGTCACTCATAAACGTGAAATTGGAATTTGTTCCCAAACCTAAGTCATCACCCAAATTACTTAAAAACCAAGTCCAAGAATTCAATGTTTCTGATTCAACCACAGCATAGGCTAAAGGATATATCCCATTATTACCATCCAATGCCTTTGATAAGAAACATAAATTACCAGAAAACATTGGTCAGTTAACACTACTTAAAATAAAGAACATACAATACAAAAAGAAATAAGAAGATCTTACCACAGCAGACAAAACTTGGCCTGGATATGGACCTTTCACGAAGGCTCCATCAAGTCCAAGAAAGTCCCTTCTTCCCGCTGCAAAACCTCGCTTCAAAGCTCCAATGCAAACATAGATACGCCTGAATGTTCTTGTCTCAACAGTTGGATTCGCTTCACTTTCAACATCAATTTTAACCGTAGTATCTGGGTTACGTGCTTGTACCTCTAAAACATAATCCCTTAACAACCTGTATTGGCTGGCATAATCTCCTTGAACATGCTTTAAAGCTTGCTGCTTTGCCCTAAAAGTTTTCATATGCGAAATGTCCATCTGGTACTCACGTTGGAGTTGCTCTCGTAAAGCCCTAATAGGAATCTTTGGGTTTGTCTCAATAACTTGTACTATATGCTCTGAAAGGAACTTATAGTCACATGCTTTGACTTTCCTTGTTTGTAGACATCGATGCTCCTTCGTGTATGTCTTAACCATCCAATCTATGTCACGCTTCCACTTACTACAATATATAACCCATGGGCATTTCTCTTCTTCATTAGTAGCAAGATTTGGTATAGTGCCCTTACAACAAACCTAACCCTATTCTTATCATTTTTCTCTAATTGTATTTCCCTTCTTGTCCTTATGGAATGTAGTTTCACTTGTGTCTTAAAGTCCTTAGATGAACTGAAAGTTTGAAAATGTAGAAGGGCTCACTAACCAAAGCTGCATCATTTTTCATAAGCCCTATGTATGGCCCTAATAGTTTTCCTTCGCTTACCATCATTTGCCTCATCTGATGAAGACCCAGACAACAAAACCTCTGTGTTGATCACTTCTAAGTCACCTTGTTGTGTATCTTCAGGTACATTACTTTCAGAAGAACCTCCAACCCATTCTACATCCTTGTCAATGTTCATATGGAAATCTTTCATATCCACATCAACATCGTGTATGAGATTGTCCTCATCAATAAAAAAATCACTATCTTCACTCTCACTATCATCATCAAACTCATCATTTCCACTGCCATTGTTGTGTCCACTACCATCATAATCATCCTCATTCTCTACATTCATTTCAAATTCAATATGGTCGACCAAAGATGGTTCTTTGTCCAAATGACTATCATTCTCAACTTCTGTTAGGTCTGGAACACTCTCATGCTCAATTGGGAGTCATTCCACTCCAAGAACAACTGTTTGGAGCAAGCTGGTGGCTCTTTAATTTCAACAATTTTAACCTTACTAGGGTTGGGGGACATAGAATAAGTATGTAAATTTGTTTTCCCATGCTCAATATATACATCTATTACCTTATGGTTAGCAACATACGTACCCAGATGATGAACATCCTGATCTGAACCCAAAGCAAATAACCCAAAATCCAAATCGCCAAATGGTCTCAGGAAATGATAATAGAGTAGTGTTTCGTCTGAATCAATATGCCCAAGTTCCTCCATCATCTCGTCAATGTCGTGAATGGAAAAGGTGTCAATGTCTAGTAAATCAACATAATTTTGCTTGCCTTTGATGTACTTTCTTCCAGGGAACTTTGTAAACTGTCCACCATGGTGTAATCGGACAGAGAATATCGTCGGATGTCCGGCTGTATATTCACGGAAAGATTGGTTAGTCACATTTTTCTTTTTAAGTTACTAACTGATTGAGGGAGTAAACACTTACCATATCTACGAGCAACGTCAATCTCGTCCATGGTAGCACGTATCCTCCAAGGCGCCATCGTCGTTTTCAAATGTAGGGTTCTTTCGATCAAGGGTTTCAAGGGTTCAAAGGTTTTCAAAGGTTTTTCTGTGAAGCTTGTGTCTGA